ATGCTGGCCTTGAACCACATCAAACTGCACACCTAATATGATCAGGTACTATTACAGTGCTTGTCCCACACTGACACAGCAGTCTCCTGTTGTACAATTCAGTGAGAACACTCCCAAACACAAGATGGGATCCACTGAATTTAGCCACCAATGGTTCTGGCTAACCTGCAGTGTGAAGAGTTGTTGCTAAGGGCGTCAGAGCCCTTTAAGATCGTTATAGACAATAAAACCTTTCTAAGTAGGGTGCTCAAATTCAGTAATACCTAGTAATACCAGTAATGCCTGAAAATACTAGTTTAGTGTCTGTTCCCATTCAATTCTTAGCCTTTTCAGATGAAGTTATTGTTGCTTGATACCTCCCAGGATTAGATCCTAGAGATAATCTCTTATGGACAGCACTTCCCCTTCCATTTAAAATTGTTAAACATCCCCACTGCAAGTATTTACATGTTTACATAGAAAAGTAATACCAGGAAAGTGTATTTTAATCTGAAGGTAGGAAAGCCACCATATATTTGCTTTCCTCCTCCACAAGTAGAAATTCCTTCCAGGAAAATTCTGGATACATTTAACTTCATCTAAGACCTTCTTACTTATGGGGTGCTAAAACTCAGTTTATTTAGTGAATATGGGCAGTAGCCCTTTCAAAGAAAACAGATTAATGTGTATGTTGTTTATCATGTGACAATCTTGACACCTCACAAAATACACTTAAAGCTAAAAATTTTAAATATACCACAAATCTGAAAGATCTTCAAGCCTTTGAGAGTTAATTCTGTGGCAGGACAGAAGAAAAGATTTTCCAGGAAAAAAAAAATAATTCAGGCAACACCATTTTGCCTTAAATGCCTCAAGGACCAAAACCCCCATGACCCTTGTGACCCTTCATAACTACAGACCTGATCCCACAAGCAGCTTCACACAGGCAGACCCTTGCACCCACACAGAACCCTGCTGATTTCAATGACAGTGCACCCATGCGGAGTAGCTTGCAAAATCAAGGTCTAACAGGGCAAAATAGTATATACTAATATTAAAAGCTTAACATGAAACCCTTACTGAAACAACATATTTATCAACTTCTATAATAACTTAGCTGTAGTTGTGACCCTAAGAGTCCCTGAATGCCCACTGACACAGGGTCTACCATACTGTAACTTTCAAGGCCTGACACACTCATTTCCCCTAACACGCTGTTGTTATATGAACCTAAAAGGCATCTTGTAAGTAATTCATATGTAAACCGGTGACACGCTGGTTCCGAAAACCATCGCTTGATATATGTACTGGTTATGTATAAAAATAGGGTTGTCAAGCGATTAAAAAAATTAATCGTGCTTAAACAATAATAGAATACCATTTAAATATTTTTGATGTTTTCTACATTTTCAAATATATTGATTTTAATTACAACACAGAATACAAAATGTACAGTGCTCACTTTATATTTATTTTTTATTACAAATATTTGCACTGTAAAAAACCAAAAGAAATAGTATTTTTCCAATCCCCCCATTACCAGTACTGTAGTGCAATCTCTTTAACATGAAAGTTGAACTTCCAAAAACTGCATTAAAAAATAAAACAATGTAAAACATTAGAGTCTACAAGTCCACTCAGTCCTATTTCTTATTCAGCCAATCACTCAGACAAACAAGTTTGTTTATATTTGCAGGAAATAATGCTGTCTGCTTCTTGTTTACGTCACCTGAAAGTGAAAACAGGTATTCACATGGCACTGTCGTAGCTGGCGTTGCACGATATTTACATGCCAGATACACTAAAGATTCATATGTCCCTTCATGCTTCAATCACCATTCCAGAGGACATGCGTCCATGCTGATGACGGATTCTGCTCGATAACGATTCAAAACAGAGCGGACCAATGCATGTTGATTTTCATCATCTGAGTCAGATGCCACCAGCAGAAGATGGATTTCCTTTTTTGGTGGTTCGAGTTCTGTAGTTTCTGCTTCAGAGTGTTGCTCTTTTAAGACATCTGAAAGAATGCTCCACACCTCGTCCCTCTCAGATTTTGGAAGGCACTTCAGATTCTTAAACCTTGGGTTGACTGCTGTATCTATCCTTAGAAATCTCACATGGTACCTTCTTTGCGTTTTGTCAAATCTGCAGTGAAAGTGTTCTTAAAATGGAACAACATGTGTTGGGTCATCACCCGACATTGCTATAACATGAAATATATGGAGAAGAATGCGGGTAAAACAGAGCAGGAGGCATACGATTCTCCCCAAAGGAGTTCATTCACAAATTTAATTAACGCAACATTTTTTTAACGAGCATCATTTGCATGGAAGCAAGTCTTCTGGAATGGTGGCTGAAGCATGAAGGGGCATACGAATGTTTAGCATATCTGGCACGTAAATACCTTGCAATGCCAGCTACAAATGTGCCATGTACATTTTCAGGTGACATTGTAAACGAGAAGTGGGCAGCATTATCTCCCGTAAATGCAAACAAACTTGTTTGTCTTAGCGACTGGCTGAACAAGAAGTAGGACTGAGTGGACTTGTAGGCTATAACGTTTTACATTGTTGCATAACTGCACTCAAAAACAAAAACAAACAAAAATCTACATTTGTAAGTTGCACTTTCACAATAAAGAGACACTATAGTACTTGTATGAGGATAATTGAAAAATATTATCTCATCATTTTTACAGTGCAAATATTTGTAATAAAAATAATAATATAAAGTGAGCACTGTACACTTTCTATTCTGTGTTGTAATTGAAGTCAATATATTTGAAAATGTAGAAAAATATCCAAAAACATTCAATAAATTTCAACTGGGATTCTATTGTTTAACAGTGCAATTAAAACTGCGATAAATCACAAATAATTTTATTAATCATGATTACTTTTTTAGCTAATCGCATGAGTTAACTGCGATTAATCGACAGCTCTAATAAAAAATGATGTGTATGTGCTGGGAATATGTTCTTAAAATGCGGGCTGGAGGCAGTACATAAATCCAGTCTGTCCTAGACAAAGGAATGTGGATTCATCTGTGTAACCAGCTTCATTACAGGCAGGGGACAGCGAAAGTACATTCACCTACAAAGTAAACAAAGCATTCAAGTTGACAAGCAGCAGCTTAGCAAGTTCAAGGGGGGCCCAGAATTTGCACCCAGGAATTGTCCCTGGCACTTGAGGCAGAGACAATGGTCTTTGGGTACTATAAGAGGAGCAAAAAGACATTTTAGTTATCCATCACTCAGGGGACATTGGGTACAGCAACCTCTGAACCTGTGAAACTTGGACCCCCCTGCCTATAGGGCTAGAGATGCTGGCGACTTGATGTAAGAAAGAAAATTGCTGAGGCAAAGATCATAACTTGCTACAATTAAATTTTAGTCATGAGACAGCGTTTTGTTTTGTTTGTAACTATACTTGTCTCTTTTTCTTGTGCTTAATATCACTTAAATCTCTGCTCTTTGTTAATACATTTATTCTTGTTTTGTTACAAACCACCTCCATGCTGGGTATTAAAGTGACATGTGACTCCACAGCTAGCTCTGTCTCTCTGGGGGCAGCAAATTTAGTAATTTTTGTGTGTTCAATGAGAGGGACTAGACACTCCAGAGATACATCTCTGGGGGAATTTGGGTTCACTGTATGTTATCTGCAAGGCAAGGTTTAGACTGGCAGGAGTTTGGTGGTGAAGCAGACAGAATGGTGTGGCAGCGAACACACAGTCTAATCCCCAGCAAAGCTCTCACCTGGTAACGCAGTGGCTTACAGTTCTGGCTGTCCTGATCAGAACATCACAGTTGTATCTTATAATATAAATATGTGTTTTTAAAAGAAGTGATGCTATGGTGTTTTCTTATGCAATTAAGACAGATTAGCACAGGTAGTAATAAAAGAAAAGAAAGAGAACTGGATGGTCTCAGAATTCGTAATGGGATATGTGCCTTTCATTTCTCCATTACTGGTTTTAACCCAACCCAGGTCAGAGTTTAGCAAGTGCCTGACAGCATTCTGGTAGCCTAACAGCAACTGTGTTGCTGATCTCAGTCCAGTTCCTAGAGAACAAGTGTCCATGGCTCAAAACTATTACAGCCAGCACACAAATGAATCAAAATACCAACATTCTGCTGGCCATCTCAGGTGAAAAGCTAAGGATTGAATGGGAACAGAGACTAAACTAGTCTCTCATCCCAGCAATGGCTCTCTAGCTCAGGTCTGAGGCACAGTGGTACTAGCAAGTGAAGGACAAATTTGTGCCACTGTTTCTGTGATATTTGCTGTGTGTGACTGAAGGATCTCACTCTCCAGAGTCATCATCATGTTTTTATGAGTGTGCCACACAGAAAGGGAAGGGACAGTTCTCCCTACTTTTTGACACCTCTATCTTCTTTAAATTTGCTACTACAGTACCTTGCCTTTATTATAATTTATTTACACTGAAAAGACAGATCATCACAGGAACACAGAATTAACCATACCACATCAGGCCATTGGTCTGGAACCAGTGGCCCATATCCGAAGCTTTACAGGTAGATTAGAAAGCAAGAATTGTGCAATGCAGCACATGGTGGGTGGGGTGGAGAAAGGGGGAGGCCTTCCTCACACCTACAGTGAGGGTGAGCACGGCAAGCAGGAGAGATCAGCCCCCTTTTCCCAATATTCACAGCTACAAATGCCCACCGGAAATGGCTAGAGACGACTGTAAAACAGCAAACCAGGTTAAATCCCACCCGCAATTCCCGCGTGATGCTGTGTCACACCCCCACCGCTTGTTCCCCCTCGGGCCCGAGGAGGGGGGCACAGATTCAGGGCCCAGCGGGGGGGGGGGCACATCACTGTGACACCTACGTTTGGCCAAACCCAACGAACAATCACGCGAACCCCGCACGAGGCAGGGCCGCTGCCGGGCCCCAGCGGCCGCCCCAGGCTGGCGGGAGGGGGCGGGCAGAGGGCTTGGGGCGGGGGGGGTCCCAGGCTCACACCGCCACGCGTCAGCCGCGCCCGGCCCACCTTGCTGTCATCCATGGGAGCCGCCAGGCCTGGCCCCGGAACAGCCGCCCGCCCGCGACCCAGGCAAACGCCGCACGAACAGCCGAGGCCCGCGCCAGCAAAGTCCCCCCGGGCTGGCCGGTCACAGCGGCGCCAGGGCACCCGACACAGCTACTCGCCCCGCCCAGGAACAGGCCCCGGCCCGCTCCATAGCGCGCTGCGCGGTTTGTTTACAGCCCCCCCCCTTCTCCCCTCAGCGGCGGGCGGGGTGAGCGCTGGGCGGGTGCATCCTGGGAATTGGAGTTTTGTTTTCCGTCGGCAGCCTCCACAGTCTGGGCAGGCCTCTAGGCGAGAGAACTACAGCTCCCATGGAGCCAGGCGCGGCGCGGGACGCTGCGTGACGCGGTGCACCCTGGTAGTGGTAGTTTTGTAGCATTGGGGAGATGATAGGTTAGGAGGAGGAACCGCCCAAATGAAAACTACGTTTCCCAGGAGGCAGTGAAAGGGACCGGCCCGTACAGGGCTTTCGGGTCTGAATCGGGCAGATACCAGTTAGCTGTATGTCTGCAGCAGCTATCCTGGCTTATGGCTGGTGAAGAGCGGGGGGGGGGCTCCAGCAGGAATGGCTGCAGAGCACCCCGGGATGAGCTAATGGGTGGCATCTCCTGGCGCCACCTCTGCCAAGGCAGCAAACACTACCTGCACCACAAAGCACCTGGGAATCAAACATTAAATCCAAGTGAAGCTATGACACTGCAAACCACATCCCTTCCTCTCCAGCAATCTCTCTCTTTCTCACACACACACACACTCTCTCTCTCTGACACTAACCTCCTGGCCAGGGCAGAGCAAACATCCCCACAGAAAACCAAAAATCACTTGCGATGCTAGAGCAACACTGGCAGTCACACCGAGCTTTGACTCCTTGGGAAGAACAAAACAACGGTCAACTAGACTGCTATAGTGCCATACACAGAACTATTACGCTAGGAGACTGGCTCATGGCGGTGCAATGAAATGTAAATGTAATAAAACAGTAATAATAATGGGTGATTTAAATAATTTAAACTAATCACAATTCACATCAGTATAAAGTTTAGAGAAATATTTCTTTCTATTCTCACTGAATGTATGGATTATGTATTAGTATGTAAACTAAATTATGACCTATAATTGGTATCCTAGACACCTGGATAAATCTCATGACTGGAGTATTGGTCTAGAGGAATATAGCTTATTAACAAGGACAGGCGGGGGGAAAAGGGAGGAAGTGCTTCCTTATATATATTCTGATGTATATTTGTTCTGGGGTCCAGAGGCAGGTAAGAGGCAGACCAGTTGAAAGTCTCCGGGTAAAGATAAAAGGAGAAAAATTAGGAGTGATGTCATGGTAGAGGTCTATGATAGACCAACAAATCAGGAAGAGGAAGTGGATGAGGCATTTTTAAAACAAATAACAAAAATACCCAAAAAAACAAGACCTGGTAGTAACGGGGAACTTTCATTCCCCAGACATCCGTTGGAAAAGTAATATAGCAAAACACAAAATTTCCAATAAGTTCTTGAAAGGTATTGGGGACAATCTTGTTTCAGAAGGTGCAGGAAGTAACCAGAGGCATAGCCATTTAGACTTTATTCTGACTAGCTGGGAGGAATTGACTGTGACTCTGAAGGTGGACAGCAATTTGGGTGAAATTTCATGATTCTAGGGAAAGGAAGAAGTGAGAGCAGAAGAATAAGTACAATGGACTTCAAAAAAGCAGACTTAACAAATTCAGAAAACTGATAGGTAAGGTCCTATGGGAAGAAAATCTAAGAGATAAAGGATTACAGGAGGGTTTATAAAATTGGCGGATGACACCAAACTGGGAGGGGTTGCAAGCACTTTGGAAGACAGGATTAGAATTCAAAATAACCTTGACAAATTAGAGAATTGAAAACAACCAGATGAAATTCAATAAAGCCAAGTGCAAAGTACTACAACAAGTACAAAATAGGAACTACAAAATGCGAAATGACATCTGAAAAGGATCTGGAATTTATAGTGGATCACAAATTGAACATGAGCCAATAGTGTAATGCAGTTGCAAAAAGAGCTAATATCATTCATTGGTGTGTTATATGTAAGACACAGGAGGTAATTGTCCTGCTATACTTGGCAATTGTGAGGCCTCAGCTGATGCACCACACTTCATTAGAGATATGAATCATAGAATATCAGGGTTGGAAGGGACCTCAGGAGGTCATCTAGTCCAATCCCCCAGCTCAAACCAGGACTAATCTGTAGAGAGATTTTTACCCCAGTTCCTTAAATGGCCCCCTCAAGGATTAAATTTACAACCCTGGGTTTAACAGGCCAATGCTCAAACCACTGAGCTATCCCTCCCCACCCTGAACAAATTGGAGAGAGTCCAGAGGAGAGTGACAAAAAGTTTAGAAAACCAGAGCTAAGCGGCAAGGTTAAAAAAAACTGGGCATGTTTAGTCTTGAGAAGAGAACACTGAGGGCTCATATACACTGAAAACTTACATCAGCATAGGTCTCACAGGGGTGTGAAAAATCCACCCCCCTGAGAAACGTAGCTATGCTGACCTAACTCCCAGTGTACACAGTGCTAGATCAACGGAATAACTTTTCTGTTGACCTAGCTACCACCTCTTGGGGAGGTGGATTAACTACAGCAAGAACAGCAAGAGTCTACACTGAAGCACTACAGTGGTGCAGCTGCGCCGCTATCGCATTTTAAGTGTGGATATACCTTGACTGGGGACCTGATAACAGTCTTCAAATATGTTAAGGGCTGTTATAAAGAGGATAGTGACCAGTCATAATGGGCTTAATCTGCAGCAAGGGAGATTAGGTTAGATATTGGGGAAAACTGGAGATAGCCAGTCAGTGATGCCTAGGTTAGGTTTCTGTCCCTTTCTTCAGGGCTATGTTTATTGTCTTCACAACCAAAGAAAGAAAAGAGTGCAAAAAGCAACGCAAACAACAGTCTGGTTAGGAGTTCAGACTGGAGCCATCTGACCTCCATTAGTTACCAGGTAAGGGCGTCTCTGACCCAAGTGCAGGCGGGACAGCCCTGGTTACCAGGATGGAGAATCAAGCTGAGTCTTCCCTCCACCTTTTTGTGAAGCTGAGATCTTTGTTATATTGTCCAACTGAGATTCTGAGCCAGTCCGTGAGGTCCTGATCAGCTATCACTGTCAGCTGATTCCCAGTACCTGTCTGCTGGGCTTCACTGGGTTGGCTGCTCCCTGTTCCCCCCACTGGACTATTAAAGGGGCAGATTGCCATGTTACACACCTCCACCCCAAGCATGGCATCAGGTATACCAAATCTCTTCCCCTCCGCCCCATCCTGTGAAAAAAAGTCCACATTCCCATGGGTGGTTCCAGGCTGGTGGTGAACTGTAAACATATTTAGCTGCAGGGCTAGGTACCATTGTGTCAGCCTGCAATTCGTTTCCCACATGGCATGCAGTCACTGCAGTGGGGCATGGTCGGTGATGAGGATGAAGGGTGCTCCAAGTAAATAATACTTCAGGGCCTCATTGGCCCACTTTATTGCCAGGCACTCCTTTTCAATCACCACATAGTTTTGTTCATGGGTTAGAAATTTTCGGCTCACATATAATATGGGGTGCTCCCCATCCTCAGACACCTGAGAGTCAACAGCTCCCAACCCCCCATTCAGAGGCATCCAACCTATAGGATGAAATCACTAGAAAAGTCTGGTCCTATGTAAAAACAGTGTGCTGCAAAGGATTCACTTTATTTCTCCAAATGCATCTCCACACATGGGAGTCCAATATACCTTCTGAGGTATCTTGTTGAGCAGAAGATCCATTATAAGGAGCTGTGATTGTTGAGAACTGGGGTATAAACTACTAATAGTATTCAGCCAGCCCCCAAAAGGATTTCACTTGTCACTTAGTGGTGGGGACTAGAGATTCTGCAATGGCCTTTACCTTGTCTAGCATCAGTTTGATTCTCCCATTCCCCAGGGTGTATCCCAGGTATTTTGTTTATGCTCAGCCAATCGGCCATTTAGTGGGCTTTGTGGTGAGGCCTGCTGCCCTGAGGGATTGGAGTACTGCTCTGACTCGTTGGAGATGCTCTGCCCAGGTATTTGTATACCACTATATTACCCAGATAGGCTCCAGCATATGCTTGGTAGGATAGCAGTATCTTTATCCATTAGCCTGTGAACTCAGCACTGATAAGGCCTCAACTGGAACCAGTTCTGGGCACCACACTTTGGGAAAGATGTGGACAAATTGGAGAAAGTCCAGAGGAGAGCAACAAAAACGATAAACAGTCTAGAAAACATGACCTATGAGGAAAGATTGTGGGGGGAAATGGGTTTGGTTAGTCTGGAGAAGAGAAGATTGAGGGGGACATAGTTGTAGTCTTCACATACGTAAAAAGTTGTTATAAAGAAGAGGGTAATAAATTGTTCTCCTTAACCACCAAAGACCGGACAAGAAGTAATAGGCTTAAATTGCAGCAAGGGAGATTTAGGCTAGATATTAGGAAAAACTTCCTAACTGTCAGGGTAGTTAAGCCCTGGAACAAATTACCTACGGAGGTTGTGGAATCTCCATCATTGGAGGTTTTCAAGAACAGGTTAAACTAATACCTGTCAGGGACAGTCGAGATAATACTTAGTCTTGCTTCAATACAGGGGACTGGGCTAGACCACCTATCGAGGTCCCTTCCAGTCCTACATTTCTATGATTCTATGTTGCTGGGACCCCATGGAGACTAAATGGAAGGGTTTGAAATTGGGAGAAGACATAAGGTGTGGCAATTGCAATTGATTCCTTGGATTCTGGGGCTAATGGAATTTGACAATATACTTTAGTATTGGGCTCCCTCAATCCATCCAACATCAATCCAAGGCATAGGATATGTGTCAAATTTAGATTTACATTTACATTCATTTTACTGAAGTCAATACAAAACTGAATACTGTAATCTGGTTTTAGGACCAGCACAACTGGACTACACCATTCACTACGGGATTCTTCGGTTACCCCCAGATGGAGCATACTCAGCAGTTCCCTTTTTACAGTGTCCCTTAAGCACCCTGGCATCTGGAAGTGGCTGTTCTGGACTGAGCTCCCAGGTTTAAGATGAATATGATATTCAATCAAATGGGTTCTCCCGGGCCTGGTAGAAAAAACACCAGCAAAGTCCCTAACCAGCTCTCTGGCTTCCTACTGTTGTGCCAGAGAGAGATTTTCCCC